TCTGACTAAGACCCGCGTCAGGAAACATTTGCCCTGTTTCCTGACGAACCTTACCTAACCTAACCGGAGGCAGAATATCTCACGATCAACATCGCAGTCATTCACACACTTTCTCTGAAATCGATATATACAAGCGAAGGTTTTCCTCTCATAAATGATTACAAAGATTTAGTAATAGTCATAAATTATAACCGGAAACTAGAGTAAGCAATGTTTTGTTGCAACAACATAACGAACGCCATTCTTAGCCTCATAGGAAGAAATTTCCAGTAGAAAACAACTCTTGAAATAATATTATGATTTTCTTGTTAGACCCACTGCGTGTATGATGCTCTTGTTAGACCCCACTGCGTGTATGATGCTCTTGTTAGACCCCACTGCGTGTGTGATGCTCTTGTTAGACCCCACTGCGTGTATGATGCTCTTGTTAGACCCCACTGCGTGTATGATGCTCTTGTTAGACCCCACTGCGTGTATGATGCTCTTGTTAGACCCCACTGCGTGTATGATGCTCTTGTTAGACCCCACTGCGTGTGTGATGCTCTTGTTAGACCCCACTGCGTGTATGATGCTCTTGTTAGACCCCACTGCGTGTATGATGCTCTTGTTAGACCCCACTGCGTGTATGATGCTCTTGTTAGACCCCACTGAGTGTATGATGCTCTTGTTAGACCCCACTGCGTGTGTGATGCTCTTGTTAGACCCCACTGCGTGTATGATGCTCTTGTTAGACCCCACTGCGTGTGCGATGCTCTTGTTAGACCCCACTGCGTGTGTGATGTTCTTATTAGACCCCACTGCGTGTATGATGCTCTTGTTAGACCCCACTGCGTGTATGATGCTCTTGTTAGACCCCACTGCGTGTATGATGCTCTTGTTAGACCCCACTGCGTGTATGATGCTCTTGTTAGACCCCACTGCGTGTATGATGCTCTTGTTAGACCCCACTGCGTGTATGATGCTCTTGTTAGACCCCACTGCGTGTATGATGCTCTTGTTAGACCCCACTGCGTGTATGATGCTCTTGTTAGACCCCACTGCGTGTATGATGCTCTTGTTAGACCCCACTGCGTGTATGATGCTCTTGTTAGACCCCACTGCGTGTATGATGCTCTTGTTAGACCCCACTGCGAGTATGATGTTCTTGTTAGACACCACTGCGAGTATGATGCTCATGTTAGACCCCACTGCGAGTATGATGTTTTTGTTAGACATCACTGCGAGTATGATGCTCTTGTTAGACCCCACTGCATGTATGATGCTCTTGTTAGACCCCACTGCGTGTATGATGCTCTTGTTAGACCCCACTGCGTGTATGATGCACTTGTTAGACCCCACTGCGTGTATGATGCTCATGTTAGACCCCACTGCGAGTATGATGTTCTTGTTAGACATCACTGCGAGTATGATGCTCATGTTAGACCCCACTGCAAGTATGATGTTCTTGTTAGACACCACTGCGAGTATGATGCTCATGTTAGACCCCACTGCGAGTATGATGCTCATGTTAGACCCCACTGCGAGTATGATGTTCTTGTTAGACACCACTGCGAGTATGATGCTCTTGTTAGACCCCACTGCAAGTATGATGCTCTTGTTAGACCCCACTGCGAGTATGATGATCTTGTTAGACCCCACTACGAGTGTGATCTTGTTAGACCCCGCTGCGAGTATGATCTTGTTAGACCCCACTGCAAGTATGATGTTAGACCCCACTGCGAGTATGATGCTCTTGTTAGACCCCACTGCGAGTATGATGGCCTTGTTAGACCGCACTGCGAGTATGATGATCTTGTTAGACCCCACTGCGAGTGTGATCTTGTTAGACCCCACTGCGAGTATGATGCTCTTGTTAGACCCCACTGTGAGTATGATGTTCTTGTTAGACATCACTGCGAGTATGATGCTCATGTTAGACCCCACTGCAAGTATGATGTTCTTGTTAGACACCACTGCGAGTATGATGCTCATGTTAGACCCCACTGCGAGTATGATGTTCTTGTTAGACACCACTGCGAGTATGATGCTCTTGTTAGACCCCACTGCAAGTATGATGCTCTTGTTAGACCCCACTGCGAGTATGATGATCTTGTTAGACCCCACTACGAGTGTGATCTTGTTAGACCCCACTGCAAGTATGATGTTAGACACCACTGCGAGTATGATGCTCTTGTTAGACCCCACTGCGAGTATGATGGCCTTGTTAGACCGCACTGCGAGTATGATGATCTTGTTAGACCCCACTGCGAGTGTGATCTTGTTAGACCCCACTGCGAGTATGATGTTCTTGTTAGACCCCACTGCAAGTATGATGTTAGACCCCCACTGCGAGTATGATGCTCTTGTTAGACCCCACTGCGAGTATGATGCCCTTGTTAGACCCCACTACGAGTATGATGCTCATGTTAAACCCCACTGCGAGTATAATGCTCATGTTAGACCCTACTGCGAGTATGATGCTCTTGTTAGACCTCACTGCGAGTATAATGCTCTTGTTAGACCTCACTGCAAGTATAATGCTCTTGTTAGACCTCCACTGCGAGTATGATGCTCTTGTTAGACCCCACTGCGAGTATGATGCTCATGTTAAACCCCACTGCGAGTACTATAATGCTCATGTTAGACCCCACTGCGAGTATGATCCTCTTTTTAGACCTCCACTGCGAGTATGATGCTCTTGTTAGACCTCAATGCGAGTATAATGCTCTTGTTAGACCTCCACTGCGAGTATGATGCTCTTGTTAGACCTCACTGCGAGTATGCTGCTTAGGCTAAAGTTTCGCCGGGAAACAGGACAAGTGTTTCCAGACGCGGGTCTTATGATGACCCGCCACTGAAGCTTTTGGTCATCCGACCGAGAACCTTCCAATGGCTTACTAGTCCACCCTTTTGAAAATTGAAGCTGTAATCCACTGCGAGTATGCTGTTGTCGCCCATTATACAGAAAATGTCGATAAACTTAAAAGGATGCAAAGTAGAGCATCAACACTTAAATTATCGAGAAAGAATTAAATCACCGTTGTTTACAAACCTTCAAGAGTCTAAATTTGGCACAATCGAGCATGATTTTTTCCTTTACTACAGAGTGACACAAATACATTAAACAGCTGCATGACACTCTGGCAAGTGGTTTAAAATCTATAAATGCAAGGTTTTCTTTTTTCCTCAAAGAGAATTGCTGAGCACTGGAATGGTTTCCTAACACAAGTTGTTGGTGACAGAAAAATCAGACAAACACTTAATAAATATACGATATTACTATTTTGCAGTTAATTCCACAACACAGGATATTCTGCTAGTCACAAATCACCTGGAGTACAGTGTCTACTACTGCTACTAATAGTAGTAATAGTGGTGGTGGTAGTAGTAGTGGTGGCAGTAATAATAGTAGTAGTAGAAGTAGAAATTTTAGCAGTGGTAGTGGTGGTGGTGGTAGAAGTAGTAGTCGTAATTATTAGTAGCAGTAGTAGTGGTAGAAGTAGTAGTATGTAGTGGTGGTAAAAACAACAGTAGTGATATTGATAGTGGTAGTAGTAGAAGCAGTAGTATTAGTAAATAGCAGCAGCAGCAAAGGTAGTAATAGTAGCGCAAGTGGATTGAGAGACTTTTGCAACAGTTGGGAATCTTTATCGAGGAAACGTTTCACCAGCCGGTGACTTCTTCAGTGAAGTCTTCAACTCTCGCCAACCCTACAGGCATCACCTGGTTACGCTAGTAGATTTGTCCAATAGTGAGTCCACCTCCAACTACTCTAAAGCTAACCTATGACACTGAGCTTGACTCTATCATCATTACTGATTCTATGTCATCATTGAAGGCTCTTGGCTCATATAATGACTCCAACAACATGCTCATTGGGGAAGCCAGGTATAGATACTCAAAAATTAGGGACAAAGGAATTAATGTACAATTGCTATGGATCCCATCACACATTGGATTACTCCTTCATGATAAAGTTGATATGTTAGCCAAGAAGAGTACCCAGAAGGAGAACGTAGAATATAACTTTGGTATAACTGTGTCTAGCATTAGGAATAATATTAGGGAGGAAGTAAATAATGAAAATGATTGTTATAGGAATGCAGTTAGAAGCCTGAGTAGATCTATAACCCACTATGATAACATGAACGTAGATAAGTATGTTTATGGAGCAACTTGCAATGTGAACAGACTGACTGATGTTGTAGTGGCCAGGCTTAGGCTTGGTTACAAGTACTTCTGGCAGTTTGGGAGACACACAGATGATGATCAAACTAAATGTAAATTATGTGATCAGGCATATGGTCACTCTCTTGAACACTATGTGCTTAATTGTCCACTTATTGAGGAATACAGAGACAGACAGTATAATAACCTATGTGACATGTCAAGATATATTATTAATGAAAATAAGATACCAGATATACTAAGCAAATTTCCTAAATTTGCTTGTAACAGATAAGTGAACTATAGATATGTAGATATAAATCCATATGTATTCCTGTTAACCCTTTGGGGCCTAGTTCCTAGGCCTTTTGTGTATCCATATGCTCTCGCGCTACCGTCCACAGGATGGATATGGGGTGCACAATAAACTAGCCACTTCGGTGGCAAAATCTAATCTAAATCTCCAACTACTCTCCGAGCATATGCTGTATGTACTTTTCTCAAGACTGATAGACTGAACACATCAACTCCAGACTGAGGGACTGATTACCTCAAACTCCTCATTTTCCACCGTTCTTCTCTGTATTGAACTGAAGAAGGTACTGGCTGGCGAAACGTTTCCTCATGTTACAAAAGGGTCTCAGTCTTCAACAAGTCGGTTTTCCAAACAATATACATCACGTTAATAGTAGTAGTAGTAGCAGTAGTAGTGGCAGTAGTAGTGGTAGTAGTAGAAATAGTAATAGTAGAACCAGAAGAAATAGCAGAAGCAGTGCCTTCTGCACATTTCTACATGTCTCATTAAATTTCCATTTCTCTCTCTTATTTAAAAACTGACTTTGACTTGTTCGCAGACTGACAGCGGAAACAGTGGTAACAACAGAGATGGAAGAAGTGGCAGAGCAGCAGCAGCAGCAAGTGGAGGAAAAGGAGCGTCAGGAGGAGGAGGTATAGGAGGAGGAAGCAGTGCAGCAGGAGGAAGAGGAAGAGGAGGAAGAGAACTAGTGGGAGGACGAGCAGCAGCAGGAGTAGAAGGAAGAGGAGCAAGAGGAAGAGAAAGAGGAGGAGGAGACGGGGGAGGAATAAGAAGAAGAGTAGGAGGAGGTGAAGGGGAAGGAGGAAGAGGAGGAGGTGTAGGAGGAGGAAGAGGGGGAAGAAGAGAAATAGGAGGAAGAGGAGGAGAAATAGGAGGAGGAAGACGAGGAGACAGCGACGACTATGCCAGGGTGAAGAGATGTGGACTTAATTACGGTGGAGAAAGTGAAGATTACGAGGACAGTGTCAACAGTGACACTGACTCTGACCACGCTGCTTCCTCCCGTACCGAGAGTTCTGCCCACCTCGATGATACCCACCACACCCCCCTCTCTGACCGCAACCACCACCACAGTAAGTCTTACACCCACCACACCCCTCTCTCTGACCGCAACCACCACTACAGTAAGTCTTACACCCACCACTCCCCCCTCTCTGACAACAACCACCACCACAGTAAGTCTTACACCCATCACACCCCCCTTCTCTGACAGCAACCACCACCACAGTAAGTCTTACACCCACCCCACTCCCATCCCTCCCTTAGAATTCGTGGAGGGTGCACATCTCGCTTTAATCCTGCTTTGAATATCACTGATAAATTTTCTGTTTTCTTCCTGAGGTAGGAAGGTGGTGTATCAAGTTCCTAACTCATCCTGTGATGGGCTCGCTCCTGCACCTGCACTCCACTCTCACAATCCACGTCAAGTATGAGGCATAGAATACAATATTTGAAAATTAATGGACAGCTCAAAACCACTTCAGATATTATCAGAATAAGAGGTGCTATCGAAATTTTCAGTACTCAAATTATCGCGAGTGTCCTGGGTTAAATATGGTAGCAGCATAGATCACAGATAATGCTGCGTAGGACACAACTTTGTGAAGTAGCGTGACCGACACAACTTTGTGAAGTAGCGTGACCGACACAACTTTGTGAAGTAGCGTGACCGACACAACTTTGTGAAGTAGCGTGACCACTTACAATACCGTCCGTCATTCCGTTAAAAGAAAGATGGGCATTTTCTATCGTGTGGTCAAAGCATTGTTGCAATTTGTGTGTACTCACCTAATTGTACTCACCTAATTGTGGTTGCAGGGGTTGAGACTCAGCTCCTGGCCCCGCCTCTTCACTGATCGCTACTAGGTCCTCTCTCTGCTTCCTGAGCTGTATCATACCTCTTCTTAAAGGTATGTATGGTTCCTGCCTCCACTACTTCACTTGCTAGGCTATTCCACTTCCTGACAACTCTATGACTGAAGAAATACTTCCTAACGTCCCTGTGACTCGTCTGAGTCTTCAGCTTCCAGTTGTGACCCCTTGTCCCTGTGTCCCCTCTCTGGAACATCCTATCTCTGTCCACCTTGTCTATACCCCGCAGTATCTTGTATGTCGTTATCATGTCTCCCCTGACCCTTCTGTCCTCCAGTGTCGTCAGTCCGATTTCCCTTAACCTTTCCTCGTACGACATTCCCCTGAGCTCTGGGACTAGCCTTGTTGCAAACCTTTGTACTTTCTCTAACTTCTTGACGTGCTTGACCAGGTGTGGGTTCCAGACTGGTGCTTCATACTCCAGTATGGGCCTAACATACACAGTGTACAGTGTCTTGAACGATTCCTTATTAAGGTATCGGAACGCTATTCTCAGGTTTGCCAGGCGCCCGTATGCTGCAGCAGTTATTTGGTTGATGTATGCCTCCGGTGACGTGATCGGTGTTATGGTCACCCCAAGGTCTTTCTCCCTGAGTGAGGTCTGTAGACTTTGTCCACCTAGCCTATACTCTGTCTGCGGTCTTCTTTGCCCCTCCCCAATCTTCATGACTTTGCATTTGGCTGGATTGAATTTGAGAAGCCAGTTACTGGACCACATGTCCAGCCTGTCCAGGTCTCTTTGCAGTCCTGCCTCATCCTCATCCGATTTAATTCTTCACATCATCTGCAAACAGGGACACTCGGAGTCTATTCCTTCCATCATGTCGTTCACATATATCAAAAATAGCACTGGTCCTAGAACTGACCCCTGTGGGACCCCGCTTGTCACAGGCGCCCACTGTGATACCTCTTCACGTACCATGACTCGTTGCTGCCTCCCTGTCAGGTATTCCCTGATCCATTGCAGTGCCCTCCCTGTTACATGCGCCTGATCCTCCAGCTTCTGCACTAATCTCTTGTGGGGAACTGTGTCAAAGGCCTTCCTGCAGTCTAGGAAAATGCAATCTACCCACCCCTCTCTCTCGTGTCTTACTTCTGTTACCTTGTCATAAAACTCCAGGAGGTTTGTGATACACGATTTGCCTTCCATGAACCCATGCTGGTTTTCATTTATAATCTTGTTCCTTTCCAGGTGTTCGACCCCACTCCTCCTGATAATCTTCTCCATGACTTTGCACACAATACATGTCAGAGACACAGGTCTGTAGTTTAGCGCCTCGTTTCTGTTTCCTTTCTTAAATATGGGGACTACATTAGCTGTCTTCCATTTCTCAGGTAGTTGCCCAGTTTCAAGGGATGTGTTGAAGATTGTGGTTAGAGGCATGCACAGCATCTCTGCTCCTTCTCTAAGGACCCATGGGGTCCTTAGAGAAGGTCCCATCGCCGGTCCCATCGCCTTTGAGGTGTCAAGGTCACTTAAGAGCTTCTTCACCTCCTCCTCAGTTGTTCGTATGTCATCCAACACTTGTTGGTATATTCCCTCTTGATGTTCCCTTCTGTGCTGTCTTCCCACAGCCCTTCCTGTCTCTACTGTAAAAACTTCCTTAAATCTCCTGTTCAGCTCCTCACATACCTCCTGATCATTTCTTGTGAGTTCACCTTCTGTCCTTAATCTGATCACCTGGTCTTTGACTGTTGTCTTCCTCCTGTGTGTGTAAGAGAGAGAGAAAAAAAAATTTTGCTTCAAACTCGATAAAACGGCTAGTAAAACTTATAAAATGCTACAGCAAACATTTGGAGACGAATGGGTTGAACAGTGTTTTCATTGCTTTCCTCGAATCACAGCAGCATACGTCTATTTCGGATGAATGTTCTGGCCGTCCATCAGCGTCATAAACAGTCGCCAACATTGAAAAATGAGGAAAGTTATTCAGAAAGATCGTCGACGGAGCATCCAGGACATTGCAAGTGTTGTGGGAATTTTTATGAGTTGTGTTAAAGCACTGCGTCCGAAAATTTAATTATAAGGCGAGTGACTGTGACAACTGTGCCCCACTTGCCGACTCTAGACCAGAAAGACCATTGCTTTCTGGCCGAAAACAACATAGTGGTCGTCCCCCATCCCCCATTCTCTCAAGATTTAGCCCCCTGTGATTCGTTTCTCTTACCAAAAATTAAAATGGCAATAAAGGGACGGCCTTTTAATAACGTGGAAGACATTCAAGTAGATTCAGAGGAATCATTAGATACTGTTAAGAAACAAAAGTTTCAAAAATATTTTGAGAAGTGGCAGAGGCGTTGGGATCAGCGTATAGCCTCCAGAGAGATTATTTCGAGGAAGACAACTTCAACTAGGTGATTAGATAAGCCTATTTTTTTTCGTAGCAGTTTGGAATTTTTTTTACAGCACCACGTATTTAGTTGTAAAGTGTCCCTGTCGTATTCCTTCAGATAACCCACGTTCATACTGAATGGAAAAGCTCTGTTTATTTATGAAGAGGTCACTATTGATAGGTATGGATTCTTGCGATCAAAAATGGCAATCAAAATGTCACAATAGTTATTCTTTGTCTTGCAGCTTTTGACTCCTGTATAATATTATATCACCAACTGGTTGAACCATACATGTGAAACTGAATTTTTTTTTATATAAACCTTACTAGCAAGGAACTAAGCTTTGATCAGTAGCCAAGTGTTTCTATATGCTGGAGAAACATGGTGACTTAATACTGGAAACTTTTAATATTTGTAAATGAATCGTTTATGCAACCTTACTCCGTCCGTTGATTTCCACTATGCTTTACCAAAACTTACAAAGAACTTAGTAATAACCAGAATATGCATCTCACAGTGGCAGATAAATCAAGGTCGTTTTTCATTTTAGATAAGGTGGAGTATTTAGATAAGATGAGCCATTTACTCAGTGACAATGAGCCATATGAGCCTCTTACTAAGAATGTCATTGACCAGGTTAATAGTCAATGTTAAGAAACGTTTAAAAAGGCTTTTGAAGGAAAATGATAAATTAATTAAACATCTGTCTGCCGTACTTGTATACATTGATTACGACACACACACACACACACACACACACACACACACACACACACACACACACACACACACACAACAAAAGAATCTGGCTCATCCTACAATAATTTCAAGAAGTTTAGTTCTATATAACATATCTACATTGTTAATTAAACTCCCTTGGCAGGAAGGATTTCGGATGAACATATAAAAAAAATATGGACTCCACAGGGAGACTCCAGAATTTAAATATGTTCAATGAATTACTTTCCGGAGTTTGTATGTTACTGTCTTGTTCATCTGAGTCTGTCTCTATTTGTTAAAGTATCTCGAAGAGGAACTAGGAAATTTCCCTATGTCTTTCTCCATACTATAACTGAACTAATTAAACTGTATGTAATGGCCTGGAAGGTAGACGTTATGCAATGTACAATCCACTCTTCTCTCCCTGTGATGCGCAATTTATATATGGAGTTCTACGAGACAACGCTTTACAGATATTCTCCCAAAGAAAGCTAAGTGAATTAAATGTTTGTATGATGTTCTCTGTCTGTGGTTGAAAGATCAAAATCTTGATGAGTATTTACGTAAAAGAATAGTTTAGCTCCCTCTATAAAATTCTCAGTCAATCTTGACTGGGACAACAAACTACTATTTTTAGATGCTGTAGCCCATCTTGTCCATGGCAGCTTTAAATTGACATTGTACAGTATATATCAAGTCAGTGTGTCGTCGTGTATTCACTATTATTCCAGTCATAGTCCCTTATACTACATTAGTATGGATATTATTTGGGACAGTGATGAAATAAGGCATTTGGGAAATTAATGTTTATTTGAAAAATACACGACAATGATGTGACAGATAATTGATTTAATAAGAGACATGATTATCCTTTGTTTTTATAAGCATTGCTTATAAAATCGACCAATGTTGAATATATTTTGGCAAGTTCTTCGTCGTCGTACCAGGTTCTAATAACAGCAACAATTACCTTATCCAAAGTGGAACAGTCCTGTTTCACTATCCTGCGTTTGGTTATTGTCCATTGATTTTTAATTGGGTTGAGGTCAGGAGAGTTTCCAGGCCAGTTTAGAACACTTAGCCCACTCTCTTCGAAGAATGTCAGCATTTTTCTGAAAGTGTGGCATGGAGCAAAATCTTGCTGTAA